ATCCTCGTGGCCCATAACTCATAATTTTGACATCGAAAATAGCAACGGGTTGAATGTTTTGGATGTTTACCGCCATAGTGCTCTTTGTGCAAGTAATGCTTCGTGGTGCGTCTTGTGCTTTGATCTAGTGCTCTTCCTTGTGCTTGAATTAGTGCAGCATCATCCTTTGATCCGTAGTTGGCTCTGATACCATGTTATGAAGCTTGTATTATATTGTCATTCACAAGCTTCTTATCTTCTCTTTTTTAGTGCATAGTGCAAAGAAAGAAAAACGAGAAAATATTGAAGATTCTTAGCAATTATGCTTAGAACTTTGTTAAAGAAACAAAGAAAGAAAAGAGAGAGAAGTTTTTAGAGAGAAATGATTAGAAAAGTTTGATATGAAAAACTCCATATAACACCCCCTATATATACTAAAACTCCAAATCTATTACTCTCATCACAACCACACACCTCATCAATCAATCACACCTACCACACACACAAATTCAAACTTCTACAACTCCTTACATAAGCATTACATCATCATGATGTAATCGCTTACATAAGCATTACATAAACATGACATAATCGTTTACCCATGTATTACATAAGTGTGACGTCAGCGAATGAATCACATTCTCAATACCACTTATTGTAAATCCTTGTCTTCCAATTCGTGGGTTTCACGTTCTGTCCTCCTCCGGCACCGGCGTCGAAAGTACATCCGGGAACAACGTTGCCGCCGCAATCTCCGCCGCCATGTCCACCAGAGCCTAAACAGATGGCAAAGCTTTCTCTGTTCCAAGAAGCATCCTCTGCAGAAACATACAGGTCTCTCCGTGCGGACACCCTTCTACGGTGTAGAACTTCTTACTAACGCCTTCTCTTTTGTATATATATATATTAATTCACTAATATTTAAATAAAATTTATTATTATATAAAATTAAAAATTTTGAGTTTTAATTTTTCTTAAATTAAAAAATATATATTAATATATTTCTATTAATATATATATATCAAGTTGGAAAAGCTTCTTGTGATTTTTCTTCTTCATCCTGATTGTGTCGGAACGCATTTTTCGACAACATCCCATAACTCTCTTAGCATCAACGTCAGCTTCATCCTCGTGGCCCATAACTCATAATTTTGACCATCGAAAATAGAAATGGGTTGAATGTTTTGGATGTTTACCGCCATAGTGCTCTTTGTGCAAGTAATGCTTCGTGGTGCGTCTTGTGCTTCGATTTAGTGCTCTTCCTTGTGCTTGAATTAATGCAGCATCATCCTTTAAACCGTAGTTGGCTCTAATACCATGTTACGAAGCTTATATTATATTGTCATTCACAAGTTTCTTATCTTCTCTTTTTTAGTGCATAGTGCAAAGAAAGAAAAACGAGAAAATATTGAAAATTCTTAGCAATTATGCTTAGAACTTTGTTTAAAAAGGGAGAATCACCATAAAATACCTGTACTTTTTTCTGGTCTCAATTTAATACATGTACTTTTTTAATTACTGAATAATACCTCTACAATTGGATTTTCTCCAATTAAATCCTATACTTTTAAATTATTGGCCAAAAAATACCTACTATTAAATAACCGCCACGTAGACAAACGGAAATCCTACGTAGCGGTGAAATTCTCAACCTCTCTCCTAATCATCGCGCCATGTCATCGTCACGTCAGAAATTAAATAAATAATAAATAATAAATAAATAAATAATAAATTAATTAATAATAATAATTAATTAAATAAATAAAAATCATAAAATAAATAATATATATATATATGTATATATACATACGTATATAAATATATACATACACATATATACATATATATACATACATATAAATACACACATATATATATACCATATATATATATACATACACATAAATATACATATATATGAATAATAAAAATATACATATACATACACATATGTACATATACATACGTATATAAATATACACATCCACACATATATATATACATACATATCAATACACATACACATATATATATATATATATTAATACATATATATATTAATACATATATATAAACGTACATATATATACATATACATACATACATATACATTCGCATATATATACATATACATTATACATACACATATATATACATATATACATATACATACACACATATATATATACATACATATACAACACATACACATACATATATAAATAATATATATACATATATATACAACACATACATATATATATATAAATATATGTATATATGTATATATATGTAGCATGTATATGTATATATATTATTTATATATGTATGTGTATATGTTGTATATGTATGTATATATATGTATGTGTATGTGTTGTATATGCATGTATATCTATATATATATGTGTGTATGCATATGTATATATGTATATATATATATGTGTATGTATAATGTATATGTATATATATGCGAATGTATATGTATGTATGTATATGTATATATATGTACGTTTATATATATGTATTAATATATATATGTATTAATATATATATATATGTGTATGTGTATTGATATGTATGTATATATATATGTGTGGATGTGTATATTTATATACGTATGTATATGTACATATGTGTATGTATATGTATATTTTTATTATTCATATATATGTATATTTAGGTATATATATATATGTGTGTGTTTATATGTATGTATATATGTGTATGTATATATTTATATACGTATGTATATATGCATATATGTATATTTATATATGTATATATATGTGTATGTATATATATATATATATATATTTATTATTTATTTTATGATTTTTATTTAATTAATTAATTATTTATTTTTATTTATTTTTTATTTAATTTCTGACGCGGCGATGACATGGCGCGATGATTAGGAGAGAGGTTGAGAATTTCGCCGCCACGTAGGATTTTCGTTTGTCTACGTGGCGGTTATTTGACGGTAGGTATTTTTTTGCCAATAATTTAAAAGTATAGGATTTATTTGGAGAAAAACCAATTGTACAGGTATTACTCAGTAATTAAAAAAGTACATGTATTAAATTGAGACCAGAGAAAAGTACAGGTATTTTACGGCGATTCTCCCTTAAAAAAACAAAGAAAGAAAAGAGAGAGAAGTTTTTAGAGAGAAATGCGTATAAATGCTTAGAAAAGCTTGATACGAAAAATTCCATATAACACCCCCTATATATACTAAAACTCCAAATCTATTACTCTCATCACAACCACACACCTCATCAATCAATCACACCTACCACACACAAATTCAAATTTCTACAACTCCTTACATAAGCATTACATCATCATGATGTAATCGCTTACATAAACATTACATAAACATGACATAATCGCTTACCTATGTATTATATAAGCGTGATGTCAACGAATGAATCACCTTCTCAATACCAGTTGTTGTAAATCCTTGTTTTCCAATTCGTGGGTTTCACGTTTTGTCCTCCTCCGGCACCGGCATCGAAAGTACATCCGGGAGCAACGTTGTCGCCGCAATCTCCGTCGCCATATCCACCAGAGCCTAAACAGATGGCAAAACTTTCTCTATTCCAAGAAGCATCCTCTGCAGAAATATACATGTGTCTCCGTGCGGATACCCTTCTACGGTGTAGTACTTCTTACTAACGTCTTCTCTTATATATATATATATATTTTTCACTAATATTTAAATAAAATTTATTATTATATAAAATTAAAAATTTTGAGTTTTAATTTTTCTTAAATTAAAATATATATATTAATATAAATTTTGAGTTATTTTGAATTAATATAAATTAAAATAACTTATTGATTTTTTTTTAAAAAAAAAAGGGTTTCTGGAAACTTAACTCAAAATTCAGCCGATTGGTTTAATTTCCAAAGCTTAAATAGATCGAGGATGAAGTTTGTAAGGAATTTTAGATTTGTAGAGATGGAAAAATTAGTTGTGCATATTTTTTTTTTACAGATTTGGATTCAAAACAACAATCAAATGAAAGGTAAGCTCATATAGTGGTTTATATGATGTTTTGTTATCAAGCTTCGGCAAAAAAAAAAATTCTATATCCAAGAACATGTAAATGCTACTAAAACAAAACTGTGCAATGATAAAACGAGGAATAAAAGAATTTTCTTGTGGAGATTTTGAGCTAGAAACGAAGAGGAAAGAGATTTACCGAAATCTGCAAGAATTCTGGAGAAAATAAAGAAGAACGACGATGAGAGTGTGCTCTGAGGAAATAATGAAATGCCTATATTTTATATATATATATATATACACATGTGATATTACCTCCCAAGTGCATGTTTTTTTTAAACATTCGGCCCATTAAAAAAGAAGTGTTCGGCCCATTACAAAACTTGTAACAATTAATCTTATTAAGCCCAATTTTAAAATATTTTATTGATTAAAAACTAAATTAGGGTTTCTGGAACAAACACTCATCTCGGATTCGTGTCTCTCTCTCTCTCTCTCTCTCTCTCTCTCTCTCTCTCTCTCTCTCTCTCCTACCTCGTGCGT